TCCCAGATCATGTGCAATGTCTAGATCCGTTAGCTAATGGATATTGCTACAATTCATCGAAAATAAAAAAAAAATGAATATTAGCACCCCCACAAAAAAAATATATTGCTGGTAATATTTTTTCTCAAAAATATATTACAAGTAATAATTTTTTTCTTTAAAAATTCATTGCTGGTAATAATTTATTACAAAAATCTATTGCTGCTATTAAAGCCTATTTTTACACTTTAATAGTGTTTTGACTCCTGTTTGGGTGATTAACTATTTGCCCATGGCTGGGACCCTAACAGGTGCTACCACCCTGGATCAGGGTGGACCTGGGAATACCAGCAATTAAGAGGTGGTTCCACGCTCCTCAAAACTTCCTGACACGAGGCCTTGCTATCGGATGTAGTTTATCGTCTTACCCAGGACGAAGTCGTAGTTTATCGTTATGCTCCGGTCTCGGATGTAGTTTATTGTCATGCCCAGGACTCGGATGTAGTTTATCGTCATACCCCGGACGAGACTGAGTAGATATTTTATATGAAGGAAATACATATTGCAAATAATGTTAGTATAGAACAGCCTTAAAATTATTTAACTATAGAATTTAATTTTAAATGAATTTAAGTATAGAAATTAACTATAGAATATTTTAAATGATTTTAAGTATAGAAATTCATAAAAAATATCGACGGAAAATTACCAGCAGAAAATATATATATATATATATATATATATATATATATATATATATATATATATATATATGAAGAAATATAGTTTTAAGGTGTGCTATATTTATGGAATAAAGTGCTCAATATCAGAGATAGAGCGTATGTAAATATAAATATAAAAGTGAACATTGAAGTCAACATTCAGGGGCGACAAGCTGTTTCATGCTGGACGCAATCGTCAGGCCTGACGATTGCGTCCAACATGAAAGATTTCAACACTATAAATGTGTCTCCTCGGGCCATAGTAAACTACTGGCGAGTCAATAGTTTAACATCGCCTGAGACACATTTTAGTGTTGAAACATAATTACAATTATGTAGTGATTTTTAACATGTTTCACTATCCTAAAATAAATAATATATATATGGCAGGTGAAATGTCTACAAGCAACCGTAAGTTCTATGCTAATTGTCCCCCCCCCAGCAATTCTCCATTATAAACTCTATCCGAGCTTCTGGCTTTCCAGTCAATTTGTTCTTCAAAAAATTAAATGAAATATTCATCGTTATCTTGCGTTTTCTTAATTCCTGTTTTTTTCCTCTCTCCTTAATAATGTCTTTTATTTTTCGTATTATCCCACACTCAGTAACCCCTTGCGTGTTAGTGGCTTTATTGTTTTTTTAAGGCGAAATGATATACACATATGTGTATGTGTATGTATGTGTGTGTGTGTGTAACGATTGATAATTATGAATTAAAACACGTAAATACCTTTTGAAGTTCTGAAGATAATAAAGTTCTTCAATGTTCTTCAAAGTTACTATTAATCGTTATGTTTTATTGTTAGCAGACAATAAGTTTTAGTATGGGAATCTTGAAATGTTGCTTATTTTGTAATTAGGATCGATTTTCTATCACTTTTGATGCTATTTTTTCTTTCGAGACAATCAATATCCATTCGCATGTCCACTGGTTAATATGAAAAGTGTATATTATTATTATTATTATTATTATTATTATTCCTTTTGAATTTCAACAATGCACCGACCAACAACTGGCAGGAGGGGCCAAAATATTGTAAGTCAATAAATCAATACTGACAACTAACAAGATTAATAATATCCACTTCACAAGAAACAGAAAAAAAATAGTCCACAATAAATATTATTAGGTTGATGCAAAAGTTTCCATCGTTCTTTGAACAAGATCTTTCATTCATATAAATTCATAGCATCATTCTTCAGTCATCAAAATTTTCTCCCTAACTTTCTATGACCTTTCGACACCCTTCAGCCATTATTGTATATTCCATTGTATGGTGTTGATGCAAACGTTTCCATCGTTCTTTGAACAAGATCTTTCATTCATATAAATTCATGGCATCATTATTCAGTGATGAAAGTATACATCATTTTATTCCGAACTTATCTTCCGAGCTTATGATTTAATATAAGAATTAGGTCTGTAGAAAAATAATTGCAAGTGTTTAACATAACTTTAAAATAGTGTATCTGAACTGAGAATGAAAGTGATTAATCGAACCATGAGTTATCAACAATAAACATATCTGGATTCTTGAACTGATGAATTATTTTCTAAGACCGTTTCACCTGTTGCTTGATTACTGCAGAAAATAGACGAGCTGATTAAATAAAAAATGGCAGTTGATTGAAGAAACGTCTGAGTAAGCTGGGTGAGGAAGTCTTACCCAGCCATATTTGTTCAATTTCTGCAGTTTCCTTTTCGAGCTTTGTTTTTCTTTATATATATATATATATATATATATATATATATATATATATATATATATAAAGTTTTTGTGGTCAAGAATTTAATAATAGCTAGGAAAATTTTAAATCCGGCCGCCATGAAGAGCCATGAAGAACCAATTAAATAATACTTCTGGCTCTGCTATTGTGAAACATATAATAAATAGTAGGAAATGGGTGGTTAATTTTAGTGCGAACTGTTTTTTTATTTTATCTAGGTCCCACTGCATTTTTCATCAATGTTCTAGAGTCCTTGTATATCAGATCCCGTGGGCCTTCCCTTTGTGAAAAGAGGGAATGCTTACTGGGTCCGAATCTTATTGGACTCTAGTTTCTTGAAATTCATTTTTTTTTTAAATTTCCATTCCATTCGTTAATTTAATTTTAACGCTTTTATAAATTTTCTATTCCCAGAAAAATGAAATTGATAAGTCCTGGGACGAAACCGGTTGTTTTTTTTTTTAGCTTTTTTAAAAAATGCCTTATAAATTTTGGCTTTTCCTAGCTATTATATATATATATATATATATATATATATATATGTATATATATATATATATATTTCGTTTGATAAACCCCTCTCATACCCTGTATTTTAACTTATATATATATATATATATATATACATATATATATTTCGTTTGATAAATCCCTCTCTTACCCCGTATTTTAACTTATTCAGACCTTAAAGAAAAATCATTTCTAGATCACTCTATCGGCTCATGTTTATTTCATCTTCGTTTTCTTTTTTTTCCCCTCCCGCTGTCACTCTCTTCTTTTCTCTAGCATTCCCCATCTCTCTCTTTCACTCTTCCCACGAAAATTTTTATAAAACTTATATTGAAACTATTATTTTTCTTTCTTTCTCTTTTAATATAAAAAATTGCCTTTTCCTTCTTTCCTTATTTTTTCTTTTTTCCTCTCCATTTTCTTTTTATCTGGACAAATTGATTCCATTTATTAAAAATAAAAAACTTCGATCTGAAGAGATGAATATTTGGATATTCATGAAATAAATTGTAACCGAATGGATTTTTAAGGATCGCCTGTACTTACAATTACAAAATTTCGACATTAAAACCTATAAATCTATCGCTTCGTGCACCCAAACTAATGGTGTTTGCATGGGAAATCCACTCGGCCCGTGCTTCTCCAATTATTACATGCTCCGTGTAGAAAACATATTTAAACAGGTCTGTAAACCTAAAATATATGTTCGCTACGAAGACGATATTTTTATTTTAGCAAATAACACAAAAGAAATAGATATTCTCAAGACCACATTTGGAAAAAAAACTCTGTGCTTAACTTTACCTACGAATTTAGTCAAAAAAATAAACTCCAATTCTTAGACGTTCTCGTACAATATAGTAACAACACTTTTACCACTTTATTGTATAAAAAATGACTACTAGCAGAAACTCTTGTCAACTATAAAAGTGTATGCCCACTCAGATACAAAATTGCAGTGATAAAAAATTTCCTAAAAAGAGCACACGAGATTTCATCCCCTCGACTACTCTTCCTTAATGAACTCAATAATGTAAAACAGACACTAGTTAACAATGGTTTTCCTAACCACCTTATCGATCACCAAATTAGAATATTTCCCCCCAAGTAAATAACAATGATAGTGAACATAGTCAAAAATAACATAAATATTTTCTATAAAAACCAAATGCTCATCAACTACAAATAAGATGAATCTCCATTTAAACATATAAAGAAATACACTACCCCAATTGAACCGAACCAAAAAATCATATTAATTATCTATTACAAAAAATTTAAAACATTTAACCTTATCCTCAAAAGCAACAACACACCAGCAAAATCAAAATTACAACGACAGAACATTATCTATGAGTTCAAATGCCTCTTGAAGGACTGTGTTTCTGATGAAACCGAATTCATGAATAATTACATCGGTCAAACAACTACATGCCTATCCAGACGCTTTACCTTACACCTATATGATTACAACTCTATTAGAACCCATTTAAACACACACACAAACTTACCAGACTTCATCCGAAACATACTAGTAGAAAATACAAACATAATAACATCATCCACATGTAAAATAGATTTTAAAAAATGGAAGCCTTAATAATAAAAAAAGGAAAAGCCAACACTTAATAATATTAACTACGAACACGGCCACAATGTGCTGACGGTGTTCGGAAAATAAAACATCCCTATAACTCTAGAAACATACACACAACCCATACACCCAATTAAAAAGCAAAAATAAAATCATCCTTGATAATGGCTAAAAGAATAGCCGAAAGCGCTCAGAATTACAGAACATTTAAACAGTTTCTACACACTCTGTATACAGAAAAGAAAACACTTGTTTGAATACAAGAAAAATTAAATAAAAAACTTAATCATAGTACCTTATCTGTTGTCTACAATGAAACACACACACACACACACACACACACACACATATATATATATATATATATATATATATAGATAGATAGATAGATAGATAGATAGATAGATAGATAGATAGATAGATAAACAAATTGCGATATAGAATAGATTAAGATATATATGTATGTCTTAAAATGATCCATAGATAGATAGATAGATATTAACAAGCTTACGTAGATAGATAGATACTGAACAGTTTGATAGATAGATAATGAACAATGAGATAGATAGCTAGATACATAGATAGATAATAAATATAATGAGAAAGATAGATAAACAAATTGCGAGATAGATTAACTTAAGATCTATATGTATGCCTTAAAATGATCCACAGATAGATAGATAGATAGATAGATATTAACTAGCTTACATAAATAGATAGATACTGAACAATGTGATCTATAGATAGATGGCTAATGAACAATGAGATAGATAGATAGATAGATAGATAGATGGATAGATACTGAACAATGAGACAGGTAGATATTAGATAATGTATATAATGAGATAGATAGATAGATAGATAGATAGATAGATAGATAGATAGATAGATAGATAGATACTGAACAATGAGATAGGCAGATATTAGATAATGTATATAATGAGATAGATAGATAGATAATGAACAATGAGATAGATAGGTAGATAGTGAACGAGATAGGTAGATAGATACTGAAAAATGAGATAGATAGATAGATAGATAGATAGATAGATAGATAGATAGATAATGAACAACGAGATAGATAGATAGATAGATAGATAGATAGATATAGGATAGATAGATAGATAGATAGATAATGAACAATGAGATAAATAATGGATATAACGAGATACATAGATAGATAATGAATATAATGGGATAGATAGATAAACAAATTGCGAGATATATTGCTCAAGATCTATATGTATGCTTTAAAATCATCCAAAGATCGGTAGATATTAACAAGTTTACATATATAGATAGATACTGAACAATGAGATAGATAGATAGATAGATAGATAGATAGATAGATAATGAACAATTAAACAGGTAGATAGATACTGAACGAGATAGGTAGATAGATACTGAAAAATGAGATAGATAGATACTGAACAATGAGATAGATAGATAGATAGATAGATAGATGATAGATAGATAATTAACAACGAGATAGATAGATAGATAGATAGATAGATAGATAGATAATGAACGACGAGATAGATAGATAGATACTGAACAATGAGATAGGTAGATATATACTGAAAAATGAGATGGATAGATAGATAGATAGATACTGCACAATGAGATAGATAGATTGATAGATAATGAACAACGAGATAGATAGATAGATAGATAGATAGATAGATAGATAGATAGATAATGAATAACGAGATAGATAGATACTGAACAATGAGATAGGTAGATAGATAGATAGATAATGAATATAATGAGATAGATAGATAAATAGATAATAACCAATGAATAGATAGATAGATAGATAGATAGATAGATAGATAGATAGATAGATAGATAGATAAAGTATTTTGTAGAAAATCTGTAAAAAGAGCTTCTGCATGTTATATTGTTTTTAATATGGAAGAAAAAGAAAGAAAACTTAAATGAAAAAAAAAATAATCATAAATACTAAGAGCAAATTAATTAGAAATCAATCCTTAGACATGTCCATTCATGTTTCTGCTGACAGAGTTGATCGACTTGTGCCTTAATAACTCGGTGTCAGAAGAAGATTTTCATGAAAAAAATAAAGAAAAGAAAATGGAAGACAGGCAGCCTTGGAAACAAAGCAAATGCAAATATAATACCTACACAAAAATGCAAAGCAGTACAGAAAACAAATGTACTGGAAACAATTATATTTCTACGTATAAAAAGCGAAGTTTCGAAATGAAAGAAATTAAGCCGTTAAAAGAACAGCAAAATACTCAAATGGCCAAGCCTGTAATCCGATCTGATGAAACGCATTTCGTCTGTATGGCCCAAGAAGATTAAATACAGGGAGTGTGCTTTGGGTCAGCGAGAATGAGTTCAAACATAAAATATTGCCGAATAAAAATCAGCTACATGGTTACGCAGAGGTCACTTGAAGAGAGGAATGAAATCTCTCCTTATCGCAGCTCTTTCCCTCAAATATATGCCAAAGTTTCAATAGCGAAAGAGACGTGAGTTCAATACTAGGCAGTGGTAAATCAAAACTTGGAGAATTGAGTTAAAGGGAAATAATTGAGACATCCGCAAGAGGCATTGCACGTGGAACTAGAACAATCTATCTCGGTAGACGAAATAAAGGTTTCGGTTTGAAATTCCAATCAGCTGAAGAAGGCCGGAGCATACAACAGCCGAAACGTTGTGAATATAGCAGTGAAGATGAAGATAACAGTGCGAATAATGCAAATAATCGTAATACCTCATCTCAGAAATATAGACAGATATTGAAGAAAAATTCCAATCACCTGAAGAAGGCCGGAGCGTACAACGGCCGAAACGTTGTGAATATGGCCATGAAGAGAATAACAGACCGAATAATGTAAATAATGCAAGTAATCATAATACCTCATCTCAGAAATATAGAAAGATATTGAAGAAAAATTCCAATTACCTGTAGAAGGCCGGAGCGTACAACGGCCGATACTTTGTGAATATGACTATGAAAATGAAGATAACAGTGCGAATAATGTAAATAATGAAGTAATCATAATAACTCATCTCAAGGGTATAGACGGAATAGGAATTCTAGAATCGTGTCCATAACAGCAGCTACGCATGGAACTGTTCCAAAATAATGGAATAAAAAATCCAAGAGTTGAAGCCATGTTGTCATTGGCATCTGGGAAGGTACTGAGAAAGATATTGGAAGTTTGCATAAACATTAGTAGAATTAGTATTGACTGATTATTTTTTTTTACGACTTATCAACCTTTTGCAGGTTATTTAAAGCCGGAAAATATTTTTAGATTGTAATTATCTTTTTTTTTTTTAGATATTTTTTTTACTGATACAAGTCCTACTAATTAATCCATACTTGTTGAAAGAGTTGGATTCATCCCCTATTAAAGGTATTTGCGCGTATGTCATTATAACGAATCCGAACTCGACAAAAAAAAAAAAATCTAAAAATACGTCAACGAAACCTGATCTATAAACTGATTTTTGACAAAGAAGACATATTCTTTTCATACGATCAATTCTAAAAATCTTGTCATCATTAAACATCCCATATGCCGTAAAAAACAAATACCCCCCCCCACACACACACACACACACACACACACACACACACACACACACACATATATATATATATATATATATATATATATATATATATATATATATATTTTATTTTCCTCACTATTCCTATATTCCACTTCCTATTTCTTTTACCATATAAATAGGTCAAATTCAGATTACTCCTCCTACCCCAATTTAAAGCTTATTTAAAGAGAGATGTAAATTTAACCCTCACTATATTTTGTATTGTCTCTTTAACCGCCACCTTCACCCTCCCTATTTAATTGTATAAAATTACACTACCCATCAATTTCTAATCATATTTTTCCTCTCATTTCATTGTTGAAAACTTGCCTGATGATCCAAAATCCCTTTAAAAGGATTTTGGTGAAATAAATTATTTTCATGTTACCTTGAAATGTCTGTTGTCATTAAATATATATATATATATATATATATATATATATATATATATATATATATATATATATATATTTAAATGGACAAAGTCCGACAATTATTTTTTATCATTTTATATATATATAGGGTTGTCCAAAACTAGGTGGACTGTATGTGGAATAGGTTTCATTTATATTATTACAATAAATCATTATGAAACATTTCCTGAGAAATGGATTGGTGATATATAAATAGTGGTCCAATCGATTGGCCAGCATGTTCATCAGACTTGACCCCAATGGATTTCTTCTTTTGAGGGGCAGTACTCAAGGACAAAGTTTATAGTCGAAAAATGAAGAATTCGGTGATTTGAAAAATTTAATAAGAGATGCATTTGGAAAAAATTAATACCCAAAAGATTCTGTACAAAAAGTTTGTCGAATCAAGAAATAGAAAACAGACTTCATAGCTGTGTAAATTGTGATGATTAAAATAGTTTGAGCACCTGCGATGATAAAAAAAAAGGGCTTTTTAAGTATTATTGTTCACAATAAAATTTAATTGTCAGTGCAATAATTGTGTTAGTAAATATAATTGTATGTTTATGTAATCTCAAAATAAATGTAATTATTTACTGTCCACCTACTTTTAGACCACCCTGTATGTGTATGTGTGTGTGTGTGTTTGTGTTTTTCGAAACATTATACTTTCATGAGACGTTTTACCAATTGTCAATAATTTATGCTTGTCGGGATCACATCTCGACACGGAGAACGCATAAATAAGAAAAAAAAATCTTTAATTTATTTTCTACCCCCATTCTAAGGGATTCTGTTTCTAAACTCGGACACTTAAAGCAAAAAAAAGGATTTAATGGGATAATATATATATATATATATATATATATATATATATATATCTATCTATCTATCTATCTATCTATCTATCTATCTATCTATCTATATATATATATATACTATATATATCTATATATATATATATAGAAGCTTATATATATATATATATATATATTGATGAAATCAACTAAACTAATACTTCTGGCTCTGCTATTACTGAACATGTAATAAATAAATGGAATTGTGTTTTTGATTTTAGTGGCGACAGTTTTTTATTCGATTTTATCTAGGTCCCATTCCTCATATCACCTCAAGATTCTAGAGTCCTTGTATATCAGATCCCGTCAAAATTCTGAAAATTGTAAACAGAGGGAATGCTTACTGGGTCTGAATGTTATTGGACTCTAGTTTCCTTGAAATTCATATTTTAACCCTTCCATTCGTTATATTAATTTAATTTACATTATATATATATATATATATATATATATATATATATATATATATTATATCCCAGAAAATAAACTTGATAAGGCTAAACTGGTTGTTCTTTTTTAGCTTTTTTAAAATGCCATTCAATTTTTTCTTTTTTGTAGTTATCGTTAAATTTTGTACAAATAAAAAACTTATTTAAATATATATAAATATATATATATATATATATATATATATATATATATATATATATATATATATATTTTGGACACTCCTCATTTTTAAACGTATTAGGATCCAACAACCTCATTCAGTTTTTTATGTTTGTATCGTATAAATCTTCATCCGTTCCGTTAATGAACTACATACAAGTCTATTGTGCAACTGTGAGGATCTTGAGACATATTTTTCTTTTAAACTGATGCTTTTCGCCATTGTCTTTTGTCGCTTAGACTGAATCCGAAATTTTGATACTATTGTTTCAGTATTATCCCATTATAAATATTATATATATATATATAATATATATATATATATATATATATATATATATATATATAAAAAATATATGGATATAGATCCGACAGTATGAAGAAAAATATGCGGAAAAAACAAACAGAAATCCTACTCTCGGAAATTTAAACAATGCTTTAGTTGTACACACAATTAAAGCTGATCATAATTTCGATTTTGATTCTGTGAAGATTTTAAAATATTTTCATAATAAAAATCTTAGGCGGATTTATGAAGCAGGCATAATATCTATCTCATGCACGGTGAACACTAGACCTGACTTCATTAATATTTCCCCTTTTCTAGCAAGATTAATGCTCGACAAACGTACAACGATATAAGTTTTAGATCAAAATAAAATTCTTTTCGTTTTTCATTCAAAATACTCAAATTTTAGGTATACGTTTTCACAACATCGCCCACGTGACGACAACGTGATCATATTTAAACGGAACGCTGATCTTATAAAAAATTTCAGTTATCTGTTTGGATTGGTCATTGCTTTTATGTCCATCGTCTTTTCATGTTGAATTTTTATATGGTCTAATGTTAATTATGTTTTATGAATATGTCCTGAAGATGGTCTATTAGACCGAAACGTCCGACGTTGACATTATATTAACATTAAAACAGCATAATTGCATATTAGGATTTTTTTTGTTTTTTTTCGTATATTTTTCTCATATATATATATATATATATATATATATATATATATATATAATATATATATATATATATATATATATTCCAACGAGATAAAATATATATATTAAAAGAAGAGATAAACCGCAAAAAAAATTTTTTACTTAAACTGCAACTCTAAAATTTGACCTATGCACTCAAATGCACAAAATGCAACAAGTTTTATAGGCAATGGTTACCAACAACCGAACAACAGGGTTCCCCATCCCCACACACAAAAGCAACACAAAACTACCAGACAACAGAACCCCGCCCCCTGCATCTCAACACATCCCTAAATGCAAAGAGGGCAAATTCAAAAAATATGTTTGAATATATCAAACAACAACTAGTCTTTTGAGTCAAACACAAGAAAAAAAAAACTCACAAATTTAAACCAGAACTTTGTTTTAGCCAAACCAGAACTATTAAACTATTTGCAGTTTCTCTCTTCTTTTTATTTATATATATATATATATATATATATATATATATATATATATATATATATATATATATAAATATATAGAAGTCAACATTATCATAAATACAGTCTATTTCATATATATGCAATCGTCAGGCTATATATAAATGCTGTTATTTTTCTCGGCTATTTATATATATATATATATATATGCATTGTATAGTCTATTTTAAGAAATTTATTTTACCGGAAGTCGTTTATTCGTTTATTTATTTATTTGGTTTAAATTCTATCTCTGATATTGAGCACTTTATCCCATAAATTTAGCACAAAGATAGACTATATTTCTTCATATATATATATATATATATATATATATATATATATATTATATTGTTGAATGAATAGGGTCCGGTAGGTCT